GGGTTGTTGGTGGCTGCTCTAAGAAACATCTGGAAAGCATCGTGTCTGGCAACATCACGTAGTCTTTCGCTTCTCATGCCTCTCATTGTCGTCCAGTCTCCTCCATCGCGGCCCCCTCTTCTGCTTCATCTTGACTCCTCTTTTCTCTTTTTGGTTGGAATGAGGGGGAAGCAAAAGACAAACACTAACACTAAAAACACCACCACCACAACCACCACCACTTCTACCACCGTGTTCATCTTTCTTCATCAGCACCTCCAACAAATCATCACTGCCAGCCAGCCACCACATCGTGGCCTAGTTTTGCCCGACGAGATTCGGCACGAGCATCGATCACCACCACCATTACCATCACCAGGTCCTCCAATGGCTCGGCAATACCACCGAGCCAGGACATTCCTTTCCCTGTGAGCGTTGCCGCCCACCACCCTGGCGCACACACAACCCTCGTTCTGCGGTACAGCTGCACATCAACATCGACGCTGCATATGCAACTCGTGCGACCCCAGCACAGCCCGACATCCAGAGATAACCTGGTGCTTCGCCTTACGACGAACAAGACCCTTGGGTTGACGATACACCACTCTAGGAAACCCATCCACTCGCCGCCCATCGCGTGGCCACCCTTTTGACCACACATCCGGGCACGCCTCGCTGACGAAATCCTTAGACCTGAAATTAATAACTTTCAGGCGGTTGCTTGCCGCCTGCAGCGCCTCCGATAGACAGCTTCGAGATCTTGTCATTGCCATGAGGCATTACGTTATTTTCCCATCTGCCGTCGAGGAACCCTTCTTCGTGGCACCGCCGGAAAGCTTTGACAAACACAACCACTGGATTACTACCAACTAACATCATCTGCCATCCGGCAACAGTAATCCGAGAGCTTGGCCCTTGGCCTCTACTATCCACGTTAGACCTGGTGCAACGCGGAACCCCAAACTCAATCCATCTTGCAAACTCTCGATTCCATCAATTTAGGCTCTTAGGCAAGGCACGGCATCACTCAGCGTTGGAAGAGCTCAGCACCCAGATGGACAATAGACAGCTTGGGACCAGCAGGGTCTTGATTGAAGCTTGCAGAGTTTGACCGAGCGGCCAAAGCAACCTTCCAAACATCTCTTTTCCTCCCTTGTCATGCCTCGACACCCCTGGCAGAATCGCTGGCTCTGGCCGGGTCCCTGGTCCCTGCGGGCTCGGGCTCGGGTTCCACGCTTTTTTCTTCTTTCTTTTTCTTCTTTTTCTTTACCTCGTCTCTTCCCCCCCTCTGTTTCTTCGTCGTTGAAGACTTTGTACGGATCATTCTCAGGATGAGACAGCAGGCCCATGTGACAGGAGGCCCCTCTTGGGACTAACTGGGCATTCGGGGAGAACCATCGCTATGTCTCCATCTGTAAAGTTTCAGTCAATCATCCGGCCAGTTCGGCCTAGCTTCCTATCCACCTTCATCCACTGAGGCGGCTGCGGTGGCTCAACAGCGCCCCACTTCGATCTTGAGGTTCGGAGAGACCACGGCGCGCGGGGACACTTCGCTCTGGGTTTTCGGGTTCCGTGAGTCTGCGTCCTATGAAGAAGTTCGACAGGAACCCGACAGGAACCCATGTCTGCCCTCTACAGGCCCTATCATTATCTCGACTGTCGCCCACTGTCGCGATCATCTTGGGAAGCATGTGCTTCCTGCACCAGTCCCAAAAGAGCGACTCTCCAGAAGATAGTCAGGCAAGCCGTATTCTCGTCTACCCCAACAAGGCGGAGATGGCGAGGGTCTAGCAGTGACAAGAGCACCGAGAGGCCCGAATCTGAACCGGGACGCGTGTTGCTACAATTCTGGGCTATTATGCAGAGAACCCGGGGGCCTGGACTGGTGTGTCGAATCATCGCACCTCCATGAATCCTTGGGAGGCCTCGGGTAAAGGTAGAGGAGCGACATTGGCCCCCTCGTTCCTGCTTACCATTCTTCACGATGCAGCCACAACCGAAGCGCGATATTGCTGAGCCTGGGTACTTGGAGTAGTTCACACGTTTACAGCAGTGCCATCTGTGTTGCCAGTTGGGCAGTATGCCAAGGGTCGATACACTCGCAAGCCTGTTACATGCGACGCCGATCGGCAAGTACTGCGGCAATATAAGCTCGGCTGTACGTCTCTCCTATCGCCAACCGTTTTGCTCGTCGATATTTGGGTTGGGCACCAGAACCAAATATCAACAAGTAAGAAATGCCTCAACAGCGGCCGCCCAGCCGAAGCGGCTGTGACTCTAAGAGTTGTTGCGGCCCAATCAACCCCCGGATGAAGGATATGGTTCAGAACATGAAGTCTTCCCTCCAGTCAAAGCTTTCATGTCAACCTCGTGGCATCCAACAACACAATCCACACGGGAAATCCACAGCTTGATTGACTTCAACCCCATGTCGATGTCCCATCTTTCCCCACACAATCGAACCCCAGTCCAAACGACATGTTCCCCTCACGTCAACCGCAGCCGCGCTGCACCCCGTCTCTATTCTGCTCCTTTGATCTCAACTTCTCGAGTCCTCCTCGACACCCTCATTGATATCACTTCGTCGTCAACCTTGATAGCACAGGCCCGGTATAACCCGATGGTGCAGTGGACACTCAGCTCTCGACGCTTTCATAGGCTAAACGTAAGACGGCAGACAGCCATTCCTCCGGCGCCCAGCGCGCGTCAGAATCAGCTTGGTCAAACAAATCACCGCTGAGGTAGGTGACTGTTCATAGCTAGTCCGAATATCCGCCACATCATGCCTCTCCTCTCCAGGCGCCAACTGTAAACCAGCTACTTGGCATATGGCCCCTTGTCTAGACACGGAAAAAGAAACATCACATATGATAGAATTTCCCCGCCCATCTAATTCGAAGCCACTATCCCAGTGTCTGGGCTCCAGGCTCAGCTCAACCGGATCTTGGTCACTCCGTGTCGAGTTGGCCCAACGAGGAATATTTGGTCCCTCCTCCATGCTCTAGAACTGCCCGACTAAGACTCTGCCTGGATATTGACATTGTTCAAAGGTCGAGATGGGGATTTGAGGTTCAAGCACTAGTCCTGCACCTCCATTAGCGCTCGGCCTTCCACTCAGCGACGGCGGTGCCCGGCCTTACTCGATACTTTACTAGGGGCGGCCCGGCCCTGTAGTTCCGCCATAGCAATGGGTAAGGTAGTCGCACAACAGTGTGCGCTCTATGCACCGCCGACGGGATGCCATCATGCTCATATCAGAACAGGCTGATGGGACAACGCCGATGCACATCCACCAGCCCACCAGCGGCACGGAATTTCTAGCCCAATCTAGATGGTCCCGTTGCCTATGATGCGGAGAGGGATGTCAGGCAGCACAAGTTCTTACCATAGAATACATGATAAGCTGTTGTTGGGGAAGAGGGGCGGGCCAAAGATGGAACGAGCGGGTTTGACGGACTAATGCCAAGGATCCATCGCAGAGGTGCAAACGCATGCAGGCCGCGACGACGTGCAGTAACGCGGTCTTGCGCGAGGGATCTACCATACGCTACCTTGACTATCGTCCTCTTTCAGCCTCTTCCTGCCTGCACATATATTTAGGTATTTTTTGATTCGTTCCGAAGAGCAGGATGCGGAGAGTCGACCGTACCAATGCAGGGCATCCAATCCCGTGGCTCGTTCGACCGCGGGCATCTCTGTCACCACCCCTGAATTTGGGATCGACGAAGTCTGTAGGAAATCGGGGTGCAGCAACAGGCAATTGATGTCCTTGTCTTTGGGGTATGGTGGTTTGGTTCCCGGGTAACGCTACTACCTATGTGCATTATCAGTGTCATGCGTATGTGGTGATCATTGGTAATGTCTGGACTGCATGCGAAGGCCGATCTCGTGTTGCTCAACATTCGACGACAATGACACATCGATAATACATTACGTCTCAAGGTCTCGCCTAGCAAGAGATGGCTTGCTTGTGTCTTATGAAATCACCTTACTGTGGACTTGTCGGCTTCCTCGGTGTGCGACCTCGGCTAAGCGGGAAACGCCTGATCTCTCTGCCGGTTTGTCCGGTCCCCCGTTACCTATTGCCGTGCCTTTTCTGCTTCCCTTTGTCCCGATTTCCGACTGGATTCCGGCAAGAGTCTCCGAGTTCAGCGTCCCGTTGGTCCGTAAGTGGGGCCGATGACATAGAGTCGCAGGTGGGAGGGGTGACTCTAAGCCGGTTGGGTTGAGGCTATTCGGGTGAGTCGGGGGATTTAAGCTTGGCTAAGATACGATGTGACCTTACACAACTCGTTGTTTTTGAAGTAGTAAAAGTACGCATCAAGAAGATGGAAGAAACAGAGTCTATCTAGTAAGTGAGTGGAAAATAGAAAAAAGAGTTCGCCCCCCGGGAGGGATACATCTCTTGGTGCTCCTGCTGGGAACTTTCTGGTGCTCATGCTGGGATTCGAACTCGGGTACTCGCTGCCTTTCGTCGAGTAGGCTGGTTGGCGTATATAATTGATTGTCGACCTTAGACCACTCCACCACCCAGCCAGTTTGACCTGACCCGTCGTCCTAGACGGGCGCCTGCTGGCTGGTGACGGGAATGGGATTGAGGGGGGTTATATACCTTTAGGCAGGACCATACTAGGCAGGACCTTACTGAGGTTGGCAGGAATATACTGCCTAGGCGGAAGTGGAATACTCGTACATTCAAATTCGGAATACTCCTAGTTCTACTTGGAAACCTCAATAATGCTATGCACAGCAGACTTTAGCTTCCATATCTTGACGACACGTAATCCAGCTGAGGTAATCAGCTCCCTCCACTGCTCCTCCGTTCTCTCTCGACCGGCGACCATGGCCATAATTTGGATATCGAAGGCTGTTGTTTGGGGGTGTGCTAGTGCCGTTTCGACAATATGTACAGTCGTGGAGGATGGAGTGCATGAGGTATGCCTTTGCTCCTGTTGGGTGTGTGAGTATTGTGCTCTTATTACTGATCAGGGGAGAGGAGGGTGCCTCTATTCTTTGGTGTAAAGAGAGGAAGGGCTTACTCACCTTTGATCGGCTGAGCTGTGAAGAAGTCGTATGAAATCTGGTGTACTCCCTCCGGCAAGACAGCCTTCTCAACAACCGGTCCCAAATCCTCGAGATACTATCGAGAGGCTGTCTCTGGGTAGATGGAGTGAAACTTGAGAACATCGTGCCCGGTACTCCCGCCAATATCCACCAGCAATGGCACCTGAGAATCATCATCTCCCTCCATCAGTCTCTCAGCGGGGAATATCTCCGTCCACGAAGGATGCAGTCCGGAGATGGTTTGCTGAATGATGTTGAACTGCTCTTGTTGTTTGGGGTGGGCTTGGTAGTATGACCACAGATCGCTGTCCCACTGATGCGCGTACTGGAAGACTGTGTTGGAGGAGTCTTGTGGGTTGGTGTAGTGCGTTTTTGAAAAATATTCTGGCATTTTGGCGTACATTGGGAGAATTGTGTCGTTGCTATGGAGTGTAAGCTGCGGGGTGTTCTTCAGAAGGATGTTGAAGGGAGGGTTTCTACAAGCTGTGGATTAGACTGTCGAATACCGGTGATGTGATGGCGAGTCCGAATGATGTTGGCTTGAAGACTCCTATTGACGTTTCTTCGAGGAGATGGTTCGATGCCATTAGCCGCAGGAACCGATCTACGTTGTAAGTCATCGTCATATCAAGTTTGAGAAATGAGAAGAAAATCGTACAGAGTAGTGCGGGATCACATGCGCCTCTAAGAAGTTCAGCGAGCTGGCAACTCGTCATCGGTTCCCCGTTTCGAGCCTGCCATTTTTCGAAAAGTTGTAGGTCTTCTAAGATCTTCAGAGCTGCACAAAGAGCCGGCTGCATTTATGTGAGATTCATGCGGCGAGCTCATAGGAAGGGTTGGTTGACTAAAGTATGAAGATCATCTCTTACCTGTGTCATGCAGATCCTCACTAATGTCTCCCACGGAGAATCTAGGCATGCCAATAGAGCGTACGTCCCCAGGAATGCTTGCATGCGGTCATCTTCGCTTTCGAAAGAGGTTGAAGTTACGGCTTCAATGTCTCTGAGAAACTAGGCTGCCGTGAGCTTTGCGCTACTTCCATCCCCTGATGCCCCTTTCTCGTTATCTTTGCTGTCCATCGCGTGACTGAGGTTTTCTAGTGTTCGGCCAATCTACCCCTCGAAGAGCGTTTGGTCGGCATTTCATTCTCAAGCAACGATTTTCTCATGACTGAGGCTTTGGTCTTAAAAGGGCCTTAATTCAAGCGCCGGTGGACAGTGGCCCTTGTTTTAACGCTGCGCAGATCAAACAAGTCTGCGGAGAGGGTTCTTCCACTCAGTCTTGGCCACCGGGGTGATGCTGGATGTAGTTACCCGTGCTCTGGGCTAAACAGCGGGCAGGCTGGCGTCGCTATTCCGGGAACACAGTTTGGCTTTCGACAAACGCTTACGGAATGAACAATTGGACTATGAGTAAACTTTATGTGGTAGAGTTCATATCAGATCGATGCGAATACGTACGTCCCCAACGGCACACTTCGCCGACATCGAACTCGGCGGTTCAAGGTGTAGTTCAAGCCAAAGAAAGGCACATGCAAGGAGTACACAACTTGGGAACAAAGGGGTATATTCTCTTTTGTGTATCCGTATTCTAGTTGCCAAAAAATCCCATCCATCATATGCGCAAGACCACGCATTGCAGCAACTGCCCACCTCGCGCAACGGAAGCGCGCGGTACTTCTCCCTCAGTGACACCACAACCTCACAGCCTTGTCCTTTCCACCACTGCCCACACGCTGCCCATCCCTGGGACTCCAGTCGACGGCATACACCTCGTCCTGGTGCCCCGGCAGGTCTGAAGCCAGCTTGTGCGTCGCCATAGACCACACCTTGAGCGTGGTATCTTTTGAGCAGGTCACGAGCAACCGCGAGTCGGCGGAGAAGGCGCACTGGTACACGGGCGCAACGTGTCCGCGAAGGGTGTTGATGAACTTGCCGTCCCTCGCGCTCCAGAGCTTGGTATGGTTGTCCCAGCCTGCGCTGGCGATGAGGGTGCCGTCAGGGGAGAAGGTGACGTGGTTGACCTGCTTCTGGTGACCCAGCATGCGCGCCACGGGCTTCGTGCCCTGCGACGGGTCCCAGAGGTACATTGTGAAGTCGTCGCTGGCCGAGACGATGCGCTCGGCTACCTTGCCCTGGATTTTGGCGGCCTTCTCGAAGCGCTCCTTTGCCTTTGCGCGGCGCGCCTCTTCAGTGTCCGGAGTGGGCGTGTGGTCGTAGAAGCTCGTTCTCAGGGCAAAGTCGGAAGACAGAGCGAGGTGGTTTACCCAGTGAGCGTGCGAGGAGAGCGTGTGTACGAGGGTGCCCTTGACTGAGTCCCAGACCTTGACCGTCTTGTCGTGACTACCCGTGTAGACGAGCCCGGTGCCGCCCCATTTCACGCAGCTGACGCTGCTCTTGTGGCCCGAGAGGACATGCTCTGTCCGCCCCGTGTTGACGACCCAGATGCGCACCGTTGCGTCCTTGCTGGCGGATGCCAGGCGAGGAGTGCCGTCGCGCCAGAGGTGGTAGGGTTCCCAGGCGATGCCGGTGACCCATTTCGCATGGCCTGCCAGGGGTTGACCGACGGCGACGCCTTTATCCGGATCCCAGAGGCGGACCGTCTTGTCCATGCTGCCCGTTGCAAGGCGGCGACCGTCGGCGGACCACGCCACGCAGAGCACCCAACCAGTGTGGCCCGAGAGTGTGAACTTCGGGGTGCCTGTCTCAGTGTCCCATATGCGCGCCGTCTTGTCACCTCCGCCCGTTGCTAACCTCTTGCTGGTCTCGGGTGAGAACTGGGCTGAAAGGATGGCTTCGCCGTGGCCTGGGATGCGGTGGGCCATACGGGTGACGGCTTGCACCTTGAATACGGCCTGGGGCTCGGCACTGAGGGTGACTGTTGTTTCAAAGGGATTTGCGACGCCATGGCTGCGGAGGAGCTCGAGGAGGTTGGTGGGGTATTGGTCGACGATGATGTCTGTGTCGGGGATGTGGATTCGGAACTTGTACGGGAGGAAGTCTTCTCTGTCCTGTTTTGGGGGTTAGACGATGGCTGCATATGGTATTATCAATTGGTGGGATATGGCTAACCTTTCCTTGCAAGGTGTTGAGGAGGAGAGTCAAGTTCTTCTCAGAGGCGTCGGCGAGGGGCACCTCAATCACTTCAGCCAGCTGCTGTCCGTCGCCGTTGACGAAGCGGGCCTTGAAGGAGCCCTCGAGGCCCGGGGCCATTGCTGTGACATCTTGCTGGGTCTGGGTCTTCTCGAGCGTCTCGCGCTTTTGGCGCTTCGAGGGCGGGGGGAGTACCGTCGCCATGATTGTTGCGTCGGTTGACCGCCTGCTCGAAAATCGTACTTTTTTTGGTCTTTGAAATTGTCAGAAATATTTCGACTACAGCGATGCGGGATGGTGGGGCAGAAATTTTGAAGTGCAGACGGGACGGTGGACCAGGGACCATCGGTCAAAAATTGCCCGTGGTTGCGACGTCCCCACTACAACGGCCCCAAAAATGTCATCGCTAGCATTTGCAAGTGGAGAAACAATATGTCTTCTGTTAGTGCGAGCATTGATAAGATAAAAATGACACCCAATTCAGACGATGAACAAACTCCGAGAGCCATCCTGGCAGCTCTCTCCCGGAACTGTGCTTTTTCAGCGAGAAGAAAAATAAGTATGTCCGGGTCAGCTTGCTGCGCTGGTATCCTTATAAACGCCATGCCCCAGTTCCTCCGTCCGGTAGGGTATGCCGTAACCCTCTTACACATTACACACACTGAGTCCTTCTCAAACTCGTCACATACACTCCCTCCATATTCCTCCGACGACCAACAATGCAAGCGGTCGACTATCTTCCCATGTGAAGGCTGGCATCGAGGCTCTGGTCCATGGCTGTCTTCTTCGGCCGGCCACGCCTCTTTGAGCCCGTGGCCGGCGAGCCGCCTGCCGCCCCCTTTGGCATTGCGTTGTTCGTAGGCGTCGCAGTGTACTGATGGAACACTTGCGGCTGGCCTTGGGCTGACTGCATGCCGAATTGGGGCACAGGAATGGGCGTCTGTTGGACAGCATTCTGCTGCTGGAAAGAGTTGTTAAGGTGCTGCCCGCGCATCTGCATCGTCCTCTGGTTGCGCTCCTCGATCTCAGCTTGTCGGTCTCTATACTGCGCATGCTCATCGTGGGCCGTCTGCTCGAACGGGTGCTTGGGCATACCGGCCATACCATCCCGAGACATCTGGTTCATCTGCTGCTGAACCCGGTTGTGATTATGGCCGTGGTTGTGGTTAAGATTATGATTCTGTACTTGTTGCTGCTGGTGCTGTTGTGGATGTTGTTGATATTGCTGATGCTGCACTTGCTGATGCTGCACTTGCTGATGCTGCACTTGCTGATGCTGCTGCTGCTGCTGTTGTTGCTGCGGCTGAGGAGGTTGCTGTTGCTGTTGCTGTTGCTGTTGCTGCTGCTGCTGCGGCGGTTGCGGCAGTTGTTGCTGTGGTGCCTGCTGCTGCGGCTGTTGTGTGCTTTGCGACTTGCGTCGACTCTCTTCGATTTCCTGATGCTTTTTCTCCTGTCTGGCCTGCCTTTCTTGTCTCTGCATATCCTCGTTCTCGACGGCGTATATGGCTGCGATGCGCAGTTGCATCTGGGATAGTATACCCAGGCGTTCAGGTTTCGACATCTTGCGGTACTCCGACTTAAAGTTGTGAAAGGTCTCGCCGGTAAGTCGCATCGTATTGGGAGCGGCTCCCACCATGAGCAGGAGAGCGGCTGTTGTAGGATCTGGCGCCGGACCAGAGCTCTGCACTTCTGGGACTATAAAGGTTAGTTTGGAGCAACGAATGGCAATAGCGAAGGATAGCGAAGGAAGACGAACCAACTGATACGTCCTGGACGACGTCGGCATCTCCTTCCGCATCCGCATCCTCTTCATCGGTCGGCGGATCAGGCGTGCGCGCCTCATGGTTATGTTCGCTACATATGATCGTCAAGATCCATTTCCCCAGCGTCTTACGATTGACGGCCTTGGCCTTCCAAGGGCAATTGGTCTTCTTGGTGGATGTCTTCAGCTGCGTCGCCGTGCATTTGTAAGGCTGCCCGCCGCGGTCGCAAACGAGATCACATCTGACGACCTCACTTCCTTTCTCGTAGGTGCCGCCGACCTTGTTGCGATGGGTACGCGACTTGACGACCTTGTACCCATCTTTTTGCATGCGCGTCTTCAGCGCCGCGAAGAGCTCTTCGAACGAGGCATATTCCTCGGTGCCGTCGCTGCGGTCGCGGGCACCCAGGATGCCAAACATGTTGACGGCGGGCCGGGCGACTGAACACCAATGTCGCGATGGCTTCAAAAGCCTGGTCCCGGATCCGTGTCGGTCAAGAAGGGCGGTTCGAGTCGTGGTGTCGCAGCGCGACGCGGTTCGGCTTCCTGTGCGGATTGGTTTTCCAAGCCTGTCGCAAACTCTTCCTGACGTGTCGGGGCCGTGGGGATGACGACTTGACTCCACCGGTCGACATCGCATTATTCCAGTGGCTGTGCGCCTTGTGTGGCTGGTGCATGTGGCCCCACTACAGGCTCGGCCGGGACAACCCCGGCTCGTCCGTGTAAGTCAGGCAGGAGCTGTTGCCCGTTGCTGCGATTTTGGCATGAACTCCCCCTGTTCTTCTCAACGACATTCCACCGACCTTTTTCGTGACAGATTCATGGCCAATTTAGTCCTCTGTGTCAACATCTGAGCCTCTCCTCCTACCGTTGTAGGAGACCAGTCATCTCCTGAACCACGACACATACCAACATCTCGGCTGGCTAGGTCTAGGTAGCCACGAAATGGATCCTCGATACCCGCGACCCTCACGGCCTTCGACCGGCTTCATGACCACTCCTTCTCAAACACCAGCACCATATGGAAGAGACTCTTCGTACTTCTCCCAATCAACTTCAATAACGGGCACTGGCTCAACAAATTCGAGAGCAAACGGCTCCCACGCGGCAACGCCGACGCCCTCTTTGACAGAAGACCTTGTCTCCGGTTCTGCCTGCACCTCAAGTTACGACTACCGTACTGAACCTAGTGGTACTATGTCAAGATCTCGCACGACCCGGCCGAGCACTTCTCACACCAGTCGCACGTCGCGAACCCCGTTTCTGCCCAACAGTGCCAAACACACCATTGTGTGCGCGCTGAGCGAGGCTCGCGGAATAACTCCTGCTGTCGGCATTGTATTCTTCAATGTTGATACCGGAGAAGCCATTCTTGGCCAAATCTCTGACAACAGGTTCTTCGTTCGAACTCTCCACAAACTTCAGATCATGGAGCCAACTCATCTCCTGATCGTCAGCTCCTGCTGCCCACCGAACCCCAAGTCAAGGCTTTACAGCCATATCGAAGAACATATGCCGGATACGAAAATCACATCTCTTGATCGAAAATACTGGTCAGAGATAGATGGGCTCAATCGTATTCAAACCTTCGCGTTCCGAGAAGACGCAGAAGCTGTGAAGGTTGCTATTCAAGGCAGCTTCTATGCAACTTGCTCCTTTGCCGCGGTAGGAGAATGCTCGAGCCTCGAGAATCTATGGCAGCATAAACACTGACCTATCACAAAGACCATGAGTTTCTTGGAGATTGAGTTCTCCGTACGTGTAGTTCCACATTCTCTTCGCATTCGATACCAGCCCTCGGAAGATACCATGATGATTGACGTGTCCGCTATCATGTCTCTTGAGATCCTACAAAACCGACGTCAAGAGACGTCTAATGACAGCCTTTACGGTGTTCTCAAGCATACACTGACACCCATGGGCGGTCGGGTGCTTCGAAGTAATCTACTGCAACCGTCTACGCTCAAAGAGTCATACCTCGAGCCTAGGTATGACGCTTTGGAGGAGCTACTTGCAAACCAAGACATGTTTGCAGAGGTTCGAACAGGTTTGAACATTCAAAATTCTCTGACTCGGCAGTCTGCTGACATTGTACAGCTTTGAAAGCTTTTCCTGACGTCGAGAATATGTTGACCAAGGTACCGAATCACAAAAACATCTGGCCTCTTTCAGGCTCTGCTGACTGGACTAGCTCGTCATCATCCCTAACAAACCGTCCGTTGAGGCTTCTGAAAGAGCCATCAACCATATTCTCATGGTCAAGACTTTTATAGACGCCGTTCCGCCAGTTTTTCAGGCGCTAGGCTCTGCCACGTCTCCTCTTCTCACCAAAGTCAGAGATCTATGCCGGCCAGAATTGACTGCAGCAGTCAGAGAGCTTGTGTATGAGAACATCCATGAGGATGTCCACTACGTGAAAAGCGCTCTTGATCTACGAAACCAAAGAACATTTGCCGTAAAGGCGAGTGACTTCCGGCCACTGTTATTGGAGTTTGGCTAACAACAGAGTAGCCTGGAATCAACGGGCTTCTCGATGTTGCTAGACAAGCTTACAAAGAAAACACCGATGACGTCCATAAACATGTCGAAGAGTTGAATCGTAATTGATCTCCGTCCCTACCGCTACCTTCATCTCATTGTAACAAAACCTGCAGGCGAGCACAGTATCGAAGCCGTCCTAAGATTCGATAATGGCCGCAAGTACAGCCTCCGAATGCGGGCAGTGGACTTCGAGGACCGAGCTGTACCTGCGGTGCTTGTCAATCAGACGATGAAGGGTCGTTACATCGAGTGTCTAACAATTCATCTCAAGAAACTGAACCAAAGAATTACCGACTCTGTTGCTGAGGTGGTTATGCTGAGCGACAAGGTAATCCAGGACCTTATTGACAGCATTCGAACCCAATTGCAGCCCCTCTACCGCGTCTGCGATTCAATCGCACTACTCGACATGATTGCATCATTTGCACATGCAAGTTCGACGTATGATTGGAGAAGACCTGAAATATCAGATACCCTAGCGCTTAAAGCTGCTAGGCATCCCATCATGGACAAGGTTTGGCCCATCCACTACTGTCCTGAGCGCATGCTGATCGCAAATAGACTATGAAGGGTGGCTTTGTACCGAATGATTATTACGCCACTGAGGAGCATCGCTTCCAGGTTGTGACCGGCTGCAACATGAGTGGGAAAAGCACTTATATCAGGAGTATATCTCTGCTCCAGATCATGGCACAAATTGGCTGCTTCGTGCCCGTCGAATACGCCAGTTTTCCCATCATTCACAACATCTTCGCTCGGGTGACTACAGATGACAACATAGAGTCCAACATGTCAAGTTTCTCGCTGGAGATGAGAGAAGTGGCTTTTATCCTTAGGTGCGTGCTGTTGACCTTGGAAAGCTGCCCATACTGACATGCCCAAGCAATGTCACGCACAAGAGCATCGTCATCATCGATGAGCTAGGTCGAGCCACAAGCACCCGAGATGGACTGGCTATCGCGATTGCCATAGCCGAAGCCCTCATACAGAGTCGAGCCATTGTGTGGTTTGCAACTCACTTTACAGAGCTCGGTAAGTCCCTTAGCGCCGTCCCTTGATTTGTCTCCGGTGGGCGTAGTCAGAAGTTGATTCAGAGTGTCTTAGCCGACGTACTAGTTGATCGCCCTGGAATACTAAATCTCCGTCTTGTCACGCAAGTTTCAACGACAGACAACCACGTACCCAAGATGACCATGATGTACAAGGTAGAGTCCGGAAAGACTGAGGAGCTGCTCTATGGCATCACTCTTGCAAAGGCCATGGCATTTCCCAAGCGGTTCCTTGAGGTTGCGGAGCAAGTCGCCATTTCATTGCGTGAACAAAGGGAGCGGAAGAAGCAGTCTTCACAAGCGAGAAAGATGCTCAACCGACGCAAGCTCATCCTCAATCTTCACGAACAGCTGAAACAGGTCAGCAACTCCAAGATGGATGAGTCATCGATGCGAAGCTACTTGATACGTCTTCGTGAGGAGTTTGTCTTAAGGATGGAGGCCATTGAAAACGGGGGCAATCAGAACAGCAGCACCGCCAGTGAGGCTGCAGAAGACGATGATGATGATGATGGGGAGTTCGATGACGAAGATGTCTTCGATACTGTAGATGTCGAGTCTCTTTGGAGCAGCTGACTGTGAGACCTATGGGCAAGTGATCTGAAGATGACTTCTGGAACAAAAATGGTGCTGTCATTGCGAGGTTGTGTGGCAAGGATGGATTCGGGCATCTACTTTGCTGTTGTTCACGAGATAGATGTGGTTTTAGTCTACTTGCTGTAAGATGATCACACAAAATTGAGCAAGAGGTTCAAACGCGCAATGTTGGGTGTTAGTGTCTTCTAACAGCTTGAGCTTCTGCCATGATCTGCCCAAGGGGCATAGACAGGGCCGCGAGGACAACTGAACCCGTATCGCTCTTCAAAAGACCACCCAGAGCTTCTTGTACATATTGAAAGTATTCAGAATCTTTCTTACGCTGTTGAATTTATGATACCTGCAGTTTTCTACGGGCTGAGCCTGGCTTGAATTAAGCAAGGTAGGAAGTGTCCGTCGTTCCCTCCTTCCGGGAGGAGGCACCAAGACCGACACAAATGGAAGGAACCACCCTCAAGACTGCCTTGCATCTTTCTCCCGCCGCAATCTCTGCGGTGACCTCCCCCCACCATCCACTTCACGGCGAACTTTTCACTCCGGCATTTCTCCTGATCAATTCAAACCACACTCTCCACTGCCTCCCTTCTTACCTATTCCTACACATCACATCCAATTCCCACCTGTAACCTGAATCGTCCTGTATATTGGTATATCGCCCTTGGCACCAGCGACCTCGTGCACACTATGCCAATCCCGCTCCGCGAAGGCGGCGAAGAGGCCATGGAGGCACCAGACCTTCAAGCGTGAGTCTACTCGAAAATCCCAATTTCTCTACCTTGCTGACGCCTTCTAGCCTTTGGGAGACGAAGAAGGATGCGGATATTCTCCTCACAATGGGTAGCAGCAAGTGGGAGCTCCATGACAAACTCATACGCGGCAAGAGTGGCCTGATTGACCACATCCTCGAGATGGTTCAGATGGTAAGCTCCTTACGCAATCTATCGTCTCGCGAGGTCAAACATGATCTTTCAAGTGGAGTTGGCTACTAAAAAACGCCTCTAGAAAGAAGGAGTGAGGAAAATTCCACTCAAGGAGCGCATGTTCCCTTATTCGGCTTTGAACACCGTCTTGAAGTACTTCTACTTTGGAGGTGAGTTGCGCTATCTGTACTGAGAAGTCCAAATTGGTGGTGTGCTGACACTCAGCAGAAAGCCTGATCGCCGACAAGACGGATGTAATCGACCTCCTCTCTTTATACGAAGTTTCCGCGACCCTCGCCGTTCTCCCTCTACAAGAGGTGATTGCTTCACAGGAGGGCGCCTTGCTCGGTGAGATCCTGTCGAGCAGTATCAACAGAATCGGAGACTTTTATATTGTCATCGAGGTCATTATCGCCGAGCAGGATGACGCGTGGGTGCCTATGCACGAAGAGATGCAGCGAGCCATCGAGCCCCATCTCGCAATGCTTCTTCAACAGGACACGTTCGTCAACCTCGTCAAACAGCATCAAGAATTCTGTTTAGAGATTCTTTCAACTGCTATTGGTCGCATCGAGACCCTCGAGAACGCTGGAAAGAAGACCACCAGTATCAAGGATACAAGTGACATCGACCTCCAAGCCAATGCCGAACATAGCACTGGTGTTTCGAAGTGTTTTGGTGTGTAATTGGAACTAAGTAGTAACTCTAGTTTCGCTAACAGAAAGAAGTCGAAGCAGGAACACAAACCGACATCCCGCTGCCGCACACTCCGAAGAAGTCCTTCCCTACGGCTACGGTCAACGATGCGGATGATGAATGCTCTATCGACGAGACGACTCCTCGGCCCAGAAAGCGCGAACCCATGGTGGCATCGGGCACAGATGCCAACTTTCCACTAGATGAGCCCAACCGCCGTTCGCAGTCTATCCCTAGATCGGTGGAAAAGTCTGGAACGGACAAGATTTCCAACTCGACCTCCAAAGATTCCAGACGTAAGTACTCTTTTCGATGTTCGGCTAGTTTTGATGTCATTTCCACAAGACTTCGTTTTCTTCTGACACGTTTCACGGGCTGACTGGACGACAGTGACCCAAATTCCGCGAAACTTCAAGTTCGACTTTGAGGCGAAGAGTGCCGCCATCGAAAGTGTGTTGGCAACTATCGACCAGAGAAATACACCCAGTCTCTCAGAGACTTCGAGAGAAACCACTGCACAGGTGGCTGCCCCTCTTGTTCGCCCTGGATCATCAACTTCACATGCTTCCACTCACTGGGAGTCCTGCAGCGAGGGTGGTGAAAGAACCGTCCCAGTCATCGGAACGAGTAAGCCCGTCGCGCCACCAGCCTCTGTTGAGCCTTCATCGCATACAGTTGCAGCGCCGAAGTCTCAATCTCAGGATGAGAAGACCACCGTTGTCTTCGGAAACAACAAACACACAACATTGGAAAGTGCATCGTTGAACTTCTCCAGCCATGTTCAGGAAGAACACCTACCCATGTCCACGACCGAAGGCTCCAGTGCCCGCCAGACCAAGCAGACGGCTGTTCCTGCCATCCATGAGCGGTCTAGTCGCTCATACGTCTTCAACAGCAAAAGCCTCCCTCAAGGCTTCCAATTCTCTGGCGGTCCGGAGAGAGAGCAACCTGAGGCCTCTAGCAGCAAAGCCACTACTGGCAACGTTCAGGGGGAGAAGACAACTGTTACTGGTGTTGTCGAAAGAGCACGAAGATAGTACGTACTGAGCGGCCCTAGTGTCTCGCAGACCGAGGGGACAGCTGCTCTCGCAATTCCCGACCGGCTGAGTCGCTCGTACACCTTCAATAGCGAAAGCCTTCCTCGAAGCTTTCAATTCTCGGGTAGATCCCAAGAACAGCGGCCCAAAGAGCCAAGTATCAATGCACCGAGCGCTGGTGCGACAGGCTCTAGGACACACAACACCAAAGCCCCTACCAGTTGCGCTCAGCAGAGTACCTCTTCATCTTCACAGGCAAGAGCGACGCAGAGCCCTTCTCCAGCCCCCAGTATCTGGAAGGCCGACCGAGCAACGAGGAAGCAAATAAGAAAAGGCCGGCTTATAGTCGAGCCTCCTGGTGAGTCGCCAAAGCCATTCAATTTCTGGTGGTGCGTGGTTTTACTTTGCCACTGGCTGCTCTACTATATGAAGACCTTCCTCTCACCATCAATACAGAGATACCATCCAGCTCACGACCAAACTTCAGTCTCGACGGAGAGGATTTGGAGAAGAGCTGCAGACCTTCTTGAAGTCGATCGATCTCCTGACGTTCCTCAGCGGGCGCAGTGATGCAGCATCTTGCGAGTTCTTGACTGGAAGTGAACGCGTCGAAGTACTGTGTGAATGCTACAGGAGCGAGTGGGATTGCTATGAGAATTTTGTCCAAGTATAGAGGCATACAACACCTACAAGGTATTGACCCCATTCCAAAACGATGCAGAGCATGGCTGACATTATCTCAGTGCTGAAGGTTTCCAGTGTTCCACCCGAGAACCATGCCCTTATGGGTCATGTATCTCCGGACATTAATGTCTTACGCTGGCTTGGAATAAGGCTCTTAAGGATATGATGGAGGAAATAGCAAGCGGAAATGTAGTAGCAGTCACCACTGAAGTCATGACATTCTTACAGACTACCCAATCTCAGGGTGGTCCCGAAGATTGATCAAGGCCACGAAGGCCGAATGTAATTTACTGTCTTACAACTGAGCCTTCTCCGTCCGGTTACCCTGTTCATCAAACCAGATTTTGTTACCCTTGATCATAGACTCCTGCAACGCCGCCCCAATCTTGACAGCAGCCACCGCTGAAGCCAACTTGACCGGCACAGGCTTATCCTCCAGCACGCTCTCGGTAAACTCAATTGCCTCCGTTGTGAAAGCAGCTTTGAAGCGGTCCCAGTACGTCTGTGGCAGCTCCTGCCGGATGCCTCCCGGCGTGTAAATCTTTACGTGGTTCTCCGCCGGCAACAGGTTAACCGACAATTTGCCCTTGGTACCAATAATCTCTGTCGAGTCCTCCTGGCCCGCAGCCATCATGCGCGAAGCATATAGGTACGCGATCCGCCCATCGTAAAATTCGACCGTGCCAACGGCATTGTCGCGATCATTGTGCTTCCGCAGGTCCGGCTCGACGGCGGTGATACCGACGGCGTGGACGGACTTGACTTTGGTGGTCTCCTCGTCAAAGAACCAGAGCGCGAGGTCAATATCGTGGATGCTGCAGTCGACAAATATGCCGCCCGAGAACTGGGCGTAGGCGACGAAGAAGCCCGAGGGGTCGAGGACGTCGCAGGTCTGGCTGCGGAGGATGGCGGGACGGCCGATGAGGCCTTGTTGCATCTTTGCGTGGGCGTCGCGGTAGGAGGCGTCGAAGCGGCGGGAGAAGCCGCACATTACTTTTAGGTCGGGACGTTTTGCGGCTGCGTCGACGACCGTTTGTGACTGTTTTCGGGGTGTGTGAGTTACACCGCAACACTCAAAAACTGGTTCACTGGTGTGTGACTTGGAAAGCAACTTACAACTTCAACTGTGGTGCCCAACGGCTTCTCACACAAGACGTGCTTCCCCTTCTCAATAGCCTTGTTGGCCTGCTCGGCGTGGACAGAGGTCACTGATGCCACGCAGACGGCTTCCAGCCCCTTGTGGGCGAGCATGTCGTCGTAGGACTCGTAAACGCTTACGCCGTGAGGGGCGAGGTTCTCAGCGGCCCATTGGCGCTCGCCGGCGTCGGGCGAGCTGACGGCCACGAGGGTCGCGCGGGGGACGTTTTGGTGGAAGTTGAGGGCGTGGCGCTTGCCCATGCGGCCGAGGCCTGCGACGCCTACTTGGAGCTTCTTGGTTGACATTTTTGTTCTTGCTTCTTTCTACTGTTCGGGTGGTGGTGCTGGTTGTTGGTGGTGTAACAGAGCTCGATCCGGCGTTCGGGGGTAGCGTGCGGTCTATGTCTATGTCTGTTTCTTCTGATATGCAACTCGTACCGTAGCTTGACGGTCGTGAGGGTATCAAAGAAAGAAGAATGTACGGATAATGGCGGTGACGAGAAGCGACGTGAATTCCTGCTCTCTAGTCTGAGACAACTGACGCAAATGCACAATCTGGAAGGAATCAAAAGGTACCGAGGACAGCTTAACACTGCTCTTAAACCACCAGGGACCTCTGTTGTCTTATATCCCACCGCTCTTCATACGGGACCTCACCGTCCTCGGAGCTCTATCGGAAACCATTTCCCGACAAGAGTAAACAGCTCCATCGCGGGGCAGCTCTGACGCTGTTGAGGATACCATCTGATGCCAATTGACCAGTAGAAAGTGGAAGCGCATGCCAGAATCCCACACAAGCGCGCCCAGGAGTCAAGACGCGTCGAAAGCCCACGTGAACTTGCAGCAATGCTGAGCTGGGAGAAGCTTTAAGGCATCTCGAAACTTGGACTTTGGAACCGGTGTAAGACAGCCCACTTTCCTCTTTTGGGGAATGAGGCAGGTGGGGGCTTGGAAATGAACAAAGCAGAGCTTTGCATTGGTCACTGATTCCATCGGGGTAAGTTTCCCCGATTCTCGATTGGGAGACTCTAACAACTTTGTCCGATCTTCATGTCTTACGGGGAGATTATGTGAACGAGACCGAGCTCCGCGTATGGTCCCGCCACCTTGCGACTAAGTATTGTACACTACGGATATACCCCAATATCTAAAGGCTAAAGGAAAAACTAAGAAAAACTTGTTGAACTCGTTAGGAACCTGGGGTAGCCGGTAGGTGTGCGTTCCAGATCCGGCCGGTCATGCCCTGCATGTTTCACAATCTCATAGGCAATATGCAGCCCGCATTGCGGATACGGGGTAATGGCCGTGTTGATTAAGTTCTATGATCTATCTGATTCTACCTACTCCGTACGCATTGTCTAGATCCGCTCTGTCGGAATCTTCTCCCCAGACTCCCCCGGTACCTGGCTTCACCCCCCTTCCCTTGGCCTTGGTGCCGGTTTTCTGGGGTACGGGGTAATGGGGAAGGCTAGATGACCGGAGATGATGTCGTTCTAATATAGGCTGAAGGTGCGTGCGTTTCCATATTCGTCACGGGATTGTCAAGATGGCTGTTGGCTATAGACACGTAAAGGCAAGTTTCGGGAACCGAGTCCCGCCCTCTCGGTATGCTGCGACCCAAAACGCAAAGAAACCAACGAGTTGCCACTACAGTTTCCCTACGCAAGTGATACCTTCGATTGCATCCAATTAATGGCTTGTGATTTGTGAAGACATACGTACTTAGTCTGCTCATGAATCATCTTCCCACCCCCACGCCCTCTTCAAGTGCGACTGCGCTGAAGCAGTGGGCCACATGTGCTCGACGTCCGTCTTGACTAGAATATCCAATAGCGCCTTTTGCTCGGCATACTCGATGAATCTGTCTCCGCATGCCGTGACACCCATGCAGGCTGTGAACATGGCTGGTATCGTGGTCTTGTTCGATAGCGCGGCGCCGCATAGTTCTCGGACTTGCATACGAATGTCGTTCTACAGGTTGCTGTGTTAGCAAGATCTTTGAGACTTTGATTGAGTTGACAGAATGAATTCTTCTTACGTCTAGCTTTTGTCGGGCTCGGATTCGACTAGGTCCTATCTTGGGGATGCTCTCGTCGTGGCACATCAAGAGCGCGCGGGCTAACGCCCCATGCACATTTCCGATTACTAGGCCAAGTTAGTGGGCTCCTCCACTAAGCATCGCTACGAGCAGGAACTGGAAATAGTCCAAGTTTCAGAGAAGGGGAGACACGAACCGACAGCATGGTTAATGTAAAAGATCTGCGGAAACACCAAGCCCGAAGCATGATCCGGCTCAGAATACGCAATAGGCAACCAAGAAAGCGGCCTCGCGCGTAACCAGTTGTAGTCATACTCAACCAGCCGCTGATACTCGCTCTTGCGGTTCTCCACCTCACCGAAACAAAACTGCACTACCTCGGCGCAGTGCACGACGATGCGATTCGCCCAGCAATCATCATCGGCCGCCGAAAACGACCGGTCGATGAAGAGGTGGTCGAGCTTAACCTTGATCGGCCGCTGCGTCGCAAACGCCATGGTGATTTCCTGCCGGAGTCCCACCCAGAAGGAAGCCTGTCGTAGGGAGCTCGGCGGGGTGAGGGAGGATGCGTTTTGCGTGTTCATGAAGAGCTGGATGCCGAGGAGGTGGCCTTCGTGGTCTGTCCCTATGAGCGGGACGTCGAGCTCCTCGAGGGTGCGAAGGAGGATTGTCGCCGCGAGGAGGTCATCGTTTGTGAGGGCTGACGAGTCGTTTGAGATTGTGGTGAGGTGTTTGAGGCATTCTTGGTGGTAGCGGTCTGAGGCGTAGGGGTCGTATTGTTCGTGGAGGCTGAGGTGGCGAGAGGAGAGGGCGAAGATTGCGTTGAGGAGGGTTGGACATGTTGTCGCTCTTCGTGGGACTACGATTGCAAAGTGCCGTCTTGCATCGCATAGGTCAAACTGTGAGGAGATTAGAATAACCACGTAGTTTTCAGGAGATATTCCTGATCCGAACGTAATGGAAAGCTAACAACTCACCCAGGTGCACATGTACTCTAGATAGTAATTCATCAACCTCACCTCGTGAGGCTGCGTGAAAGGAAACACAACATCGTCATGATGCTCAAAATTAGCCAACCCGAGAGTCGACCCAGATGGGATAGCGCTGTAAACAGAAGGCAAAGTTGTCGGTGTCTGCACCTGCACCTCTCTCCAACTCGCAGCCGGCGTAGAGGCGGGTTGGCTGTGAGGACTCGGGACTAGAAGCCGGGCATCACGATGATCTCGGCTATGCGAGTCGATGATGGGAGCCGGGGATGCGGATGCGGCGTCATCGGGTTGCCGTTGTCCTCGGCATCGTTGTTGTTCTTGGTCCACTAACAGCGCGGATGATGATGATGAGCCAGGATCAGGATGTATAGCTGGCAGTGGTACCCGCTGACCCTCCGCCGATGCGAATTGCGGCTGTAGTGCTGCCGGTGGGCGTAGTTGCGGTTGCGGTTGGAGTTGCGGCGGCGGGCTGCCGTGTTCAGACCAATAAAGAGCCTCAAGTTCCTGGGTTTCATTGACAAAGTGTACTGCGTGACCGAGTTAGGCAATTTTGACAGAAAAGCGTGATGTCGGGATAAGCTTCGTTCCAAGGCAATTCCAAAGAAGGCATTTCTCGCCGTTTTTGCTCGTAGATCTCCTCCTCATTGTCCCCAACTTCTCCAACTTGCAAGGTCTTGGAGGTCTGGACGGTGGGACTGTAAACTTACATCGCCGCGGATAGGGCACCCACGTCTGCTCCGTAGCGCTCGGCGTCCTAAATCAGCGAGACAAAACCCATAGTAAGTGATCAGCGTTCCCGCAAAAAAGGCGGTACAATATGGCGCATTACGGAGTACAGAGTTGCAGATTCGTCCCTGTGACGAAAACGAAATGGGGGTTACGAAGAGTTGTAGTGGTAAACGGGGCGGGCGAGGTCATTATCTTGGTTCCGCTTTGCGCAAGTCTTGACTCTTGCTTCACCAATGTCGCAACTCGCACGTCGTGTAGTGTATTTCGCAATTGGGCGGAGAACGACTGGGGGGCCACGGGGCCAAGTACAAGTTCTCTAAAGTTGGCGATAGAGATAGACAACGAACTGTCACTTACTCAGTGGCATGCTTGAATCGAATTGCGGGGGCCGGTACACAGTCCTTGCCAGTTGCTCTGCATCGAATACATGATTTGAAGTAGTTGTCGGGCCGAGAAGAAGACGGAGACGCATCGTCATCTGTGCTCCACGCGCATTTGAGATGTTGCTTTTTGCAAGTCTGTTATTCATGTTCATTAGTAGCTCTGGAGTTGAGTATGTCCGCCGACGTGGGTGCTCCGTACAGTGGGATGGATGCAAAGTCCGACCGGCAGGCAGTCAGTCTGTACATCTCATCCCACAGATTCCACATCGCCAACCCCAGATACCTAAGTCAGCAGCAATTCCACAACTTCTGATTGCTTATTCCGAAATCTGGGGTAGAACACGGATCACGGAGGGTCGGGCGTGGGCAACAACTCTGGGGAAATGGGGTGAAGAACCAAAGCGAATAGGGCCGACTTACCAGACATGTCGTCGACATGATTTGACTCCCACCTCTATCAGTCTCTTTTCGTCCAGACCTGTCGCGGTTTCGTGAAATTGAGACGATCACGATGATGTAGGGAAGTTGAGGGATAAAAGCATTTCCTCGTTGGTGAATTCAGGAAATCTGTGCATCGGGGCGAATTGCTCGATACTATGGAACTGGAAGAAAGCTCCTAGCCTCTCCCCCTAGGTCTTACAGCTGTCCGTGAGGCTCCTTCGGGCTTCGGCTCGAATTTCCACGTCAACCATGTCCTGGCCTCCTCCTCCTAGCCTATGACGAAAGTGTTAATGCACGTTGGAAATGGGCCCCTGACTCGTGTTGGGGAGAGCCTGAGAGGCCACCCCCTGGTCTGCCAGCCCCCATCCAAATCCATGAAGGCTCGGCACTGCCAATCCACGGCCAGATTCCGGAGTACTCTGGTATTTCGAGACATGGGAATAGAGAAACCCCACCTAACCCGTCAATTCCCCACGGGCAACTCATGTGCGAGAATCTTCTGATAGACGGCCCCTGTACTGCTGCGTAGAAACACGTTCTTATCAGCTTGGAAGTGCCAGAAGCACGCAGAAGACTCTAATCATGTGCAGTCGGTGTAATGTCCTCTTCGACGCTCTTCCATAGTAGTCCCACCCGCGGTGCTCGATTATCGGACGGTGTCTGCAATGGCACCCATCGTTTGTTGAGTTCTGTCATCGAACATGATCTCGAAAATTCGCCTTTAATTCCTCGCAAACACCCCCAAAACTCCAACTGCCAAGTTCTCCAAAATGCCGTGGGGCTGTCGAGGGCGGGCATAACCCCGGCCCTATTCTGTCTCTCCCTGGTTCGTCGTCAGTGCCTGAATTCGTCTCTGTGCCGGACTGATGGCCGAGGGGTGCCCCATGCTTTCTCTGTCTCTTTTTCTTCCTCACACACCGTATCTGGTGTAGCGTGAGTCGTGATTGGCGTCTCCGCGCAGGGAACGCTGGAAGCCTGACACGGTTTCCCCAATATCCCCAGAAAACCATCTTTGAAGCACACCCCGCGATTTAGTGGCTCCTCCACGTCCATTCTTGACCAACTAGCATCCGGCCATTGGTCGTGGTACTCGTGGCGGCTATTGTGCGC